TCAATCCCAGGTGAGTCTTAGTACCCTGGATGCCTATTAATACCTTGTATTGATCCGGATGCGCTGTTGATAGCAAGCCTCTCAGTAAAGACCATACTGATAGAGTGAAACCTCCTCTTTACAGGACTGGTATTAATCACCCACTACCTAACACTCACCACGCTCACAAATTACAGTCAACTCATAGTAACAACCTTTTTACTATTAAATACTCAGGTTAGTTACCCAGAGGCTGACACAGACCACATTGATGGGCACCCCATGTGTAAGTACCCTACACCAGGGGAGTTTGCTCAGCACTTGCATGCAGGTGCCATCGCGTAGTATTCTTCTGGAACCCTGTCAGATGTCTCCTGGAACCTTACCCTCATTTGATGCTGAATTTATGCTGAATTTATGTTCAATTTATGCTGAATTTCTGCTGAACTTATGCTCAACTCATCTGAATTCATGTTGAAAACAGGTTGAATACAACTTGGAACCATCTTCAACTTGACTATATACATAATTGGAACTCTTCTAGAACCACATCTACAGGGACAGGCATTATGTCAGTTTGTTGGTAAAAATTAGATTTTTCAATGGTTTAATTATGATTTGAAATGCTGTGTACAGACCAGATTATCATTCAATATTTTTATGGAATAAACCAATATTTCAAATACTCTGCAGAATACACACCATAAACTAGTTAGTTTAATTTACAATGATTGGCCCCAAGTACTAGGATAATAATTACATACTTTCATAGACTGCCGTATGAGAATGTCACTGGTGAAACTTGAAATATAGTGATTTGTATGTGCATATCTGAAGTGATAATGCTGGATTCATATTACAAATGTCAACCCAAGGTAATAATTTGTAAAATTCAACCACCTGAATAACACCAACCAATTTTTCCAATTGAAGTCTGTTGGCTTCAACCAGTGGAAATTTTTTGTGGTCAGTTGTAAAAGTGTGGATAGTAACCTGAAGAATTAAAAACATAAATATATTAACAGCTTGTTTCAAAAAATCAGCTAAAACATGTTGTGTTTAAGCCATATAACCAGACTGTATCAACACTGAAAATTTTCAGATTTTGCTTCTTGGTTTTTCTCCAAAGTGCTTAATATCAGCTGAGGCACTGTGCAGAAACTGAATTCATCATGATAAGTATGGGTGATCTTCCTGGTGGAATAACACATGAAAGCAAACCCTAATTTTTTGTTTTGGAAAATGCAAATAATCTTATTTCCATTGTGGTTGCTTTTGAAATATGCTTTTGTCAGTTCAGTTCGGATGTATACAAGAAGCATAGATTTTTTATGCACTAATAATTCTTCTCATGGCAATTACAAATCAGAATATTTGTATGGATATACATAAATATCACCAAAGGATTGTCCAGAAAACAGAGAGCAGATTTTAAGAATTTTAAAGCCTTTAAACTATTCAAGCTATGAAAAACCGGAAGTTGAACTGCATCATATTTTTTTCAAAACCAGGTTTAAAACAATTTGGAGTGAACCAAGAGTTCTGAAAGAAAAGGAAACAAAAGTATCAGAACTTAGTTGAGGTCAGTGGTTGTAGTATGGAATACGCATCTATCACTGGAGACCTTGAATTGTGAAATCATAGAAAAATTGGAGAAAAAAAAGAGTAACAGTCAAAAAAAAGCTGAAATGGGAAGAAGACAAAGGATATGAGGAAAACAACTGAAGATGATAGCTAGGAATATACAGGTCGTTCATTCATTTAAGTTTTTTTTTCTCTATTTCAACATGTTCTTCATCATCTGCTATTTGTATCTTCTGGTCAGCAATAGTAGTATCAGAGCTAATGTGTTCAACAACAGCATTAGAAATTATTTGAGACATCTGGCAAGAGAAACCAATCCTCATATACTTATCAGATAGTAAAGCACCATCCAAATTCTGATTTAATTCTTCCTGAGATCTGAAGACACACATGGTGACCACTGCAACCTCATTCAGGTCAATATAAACCTGAAAATCACAAAAGTGACCACCAATCATATTCAAACTCTTGTCAGCTAAAATTGGATCATCTTCTTTTGAAGATTGGAATCCAGCAGACTAGGGTCCAGGTTTTGATGTCAGTGTCCTGGTGAGGTTTGCTGTAGAATTTGTACATAATGAAATTTAAGAAAGAAGCAAAGTCAAACATGGTGTAGGGTGCATGCAAGCCATTGAAGGGAGGTTGCAACCGATGAGAGCTTCACAATATTCTTTAAATGCATGAGGGTCCAGTTGATCAAGGTGGGTAGCAATCCATTCATTAGCCTCTTCAAACACAGATTCCTTGTGCTTGAGGTTATATTGAGACCTCCTGATCATACCAGCCATTAATTTTATTGAACAATATCTTTCAGAACCTTTGTTTTTTTGTGCTTTTCCGCCAACCACAGGCCCACATTGTATCACCCATGGAAGGTCTGTAGTTTTTCACTGGCACAACAAAGTTGGTTTGTTTGAGGAAAAAGAAAACCAGTTTTTCCCAACCTTGAAGTTCATTGGACGGCATAAAGAAGATGGGAGTTGTTTTAAATTTTCAGAAGGCCAGCTTGTTTTGTGGGGAAATGACACAGTACAATTGTATAGGCCATGATAAGAGGACAGGAGTGTCTTTTGAGAGGAAAGAATCTCAAAGGAGTCTTTATCAAGTTGATGGATTGGGTACAAATTAACAAAAGGTTTTTTTTGGAAGGATCAGCAGTGGTGATGTTTTTGTCTAAATCTGACACTTGAGTTGATACATCTTTGTTGGTGGAAATAATGAAGGAGGATTTGATGTTTTCACGGCATCTGGCCCATTTCTTGGAGGCCCCACCAGGACGGGTTTGTTTACTGGGGCTGACCAAAAGGTTTGGGGTAAATTTTAAAACACACACACATACGTTTGTGTGACACATGAATGCACTTGCTCCAAGTTTAGGGAATCACCCCACTACAACTTCACTCGAAAATTGCCTACATTTTGCTAATTTTAATGGCCATTTTGCTTAAGCTCTATAACTACAAACCCAATAAAAATGCACTTATTCTTTTTGCTCTCTGATTTACTATCAAATCTCATACACTCTTTGTGTACCTCTCACACACTCAAGGTGAATTACTCAATATGAAATTCTTATGTAGGATTCTTATTTTTTTGCTCAATTGTAGTGCAGAGGAACAAGATTCTCAGCCTTAGGTGTTTTAAAAAATCTCCACCAATTCAAAATTCTGGTTTTATTTATAAATGCTGATTTGTTTTTCTTTTTTTTCATTAAAGGAAACACATGGAACAGTCAGAATCTGTGCAATAATGCACATGAAAACAATTAAACATTTTTACTTGCTTTCAAACAGAGCAACTTGCCTAAATCAATTTGAATTGCATTCAAATCAGAGAGAAACACCCGTTTTTTAACTCCAATCTCATCCTCAAATTTTCTCTCCACATTTATAGCCTACTTGCTTCACCCCATAGCCAATCGAATAATAGATCCACAACATTCAACAGGTCAGAGTCCAAACTGCCAAGTGTTTTGAACTCAAAAATCCCACTTAAGGTTAATTTGTTGGTCTGCCTATCTCTCATATATATTCTGATTCAAACCAAACTTAAATAAAAACCACCCATGGTGGTGTTCAAATAAATACAGAAGCAGTCAAGATCAGGATTCAGACCTTTCATGATGAAGAGTTCAGTATTTAAAATTCCAAACTGCAATATTCAAGATGCTTGGATGAGAATCAATGATTTTTTTTCTTTTTTTTATGATGTTTTCTTTTCTTTCTGAGATGATGTGTTGTGTTGTGTTTTTTCGATGTTGCCATTGTGTTGAGTTTGTTGTAACTTGTAGTTGGAGGATGCAATGAACATGTCTGTGACATGTGCACTCCCTGGGTCTGGAGTCCAATGTTTGAACTCTGAAGAGGAGGCATGTCATACCAGACAGAATTACGATCCAAGAAGGCTAGTAGCCTAGTCATCACTCACTCATCACTTATCAATTCATTATCAGTAAGATAGTCTCGGTTTCAAATTGGTTTTATCTGATCCATCAATCAAGTTTCAATCACAAAATCAACTTGAATCAACTCAATGAACTGGCACTGGCTTCTCCTGGTGTCTACTCCTCTTAGGATATCAAGACAAGTCTAAATCAACACCAAATCTTCAATACATATCAGTTTCCGTTTTATCTGACTCTAATTTCTTATCCCTCACTGTGAGGACCTCTTTTGTCAGCTTGCTACTATGGTAGAGACAACCTGTCATAGCAAATAAAATAATAAATTACATAAAAAATCTAAGTATAAAGTAAAAATATTACATAAGTAAAAGAAACAATATTACTTATGTAAATAGGATAAAAATACATAAAAATAAATGAATAACTTAAAAAGTATAAACAAAACCTTAAATATTATTGCAAATTCTGAATCAGCATACAATTTAACCTAGGGTACCTCAGCCAAAGGTATCCCAAATTATAACTCCTTCACCCTGTTATACATGCATGAATAATTAACAGGTACCCCCATATCACGGGTACTGTGACTCCTCTGCATAATGCATAATGCATATACTCCAAATCCAGTCTCAGAATTGGAGTATTATGCACGGTTTAGAAGATAGAGCTGTGTGGAGTCCTGTCTCCAAGCCCACGCGCCACGTAGTCATGCTGCGCACCAGTATCCAAGGATTGGGCCACAAAAGCCCCAGAATCCCCATTGCACGTGACAACAAAGCCCCCACACGTGTAATAAGAATGTGAACAAGCTAGAATATCCATGAAAATACTACAGTAACCATATTCCAATGGGTAACACGTGTAGCAAGCCTCAGAAGACACCTCTGGAATATTCTGTGGCCCATTTCCAAGGAACCTGCTCCACGTAACAGAGCAGCCCCTATCTACAGGTCCCCATGGGACATTCTTGGCTGTAATAATTTCGTGCAGGGCCCCTTGGAGCTTCTGGAACATTATCCCCAAGGTTCCAACCATGGTTACATCACCATGTGGGCCAAAATGGGCCAAAAAAGCGCCCCCAAGTCCTACTAAGCTCCCCTGGGCAACCCCTGAGGCCTTCCACAGGTACTTAAAGGGCCTTCTGACCGCCCAAATAATGATCCCCCAGCTTGACAATACCATATAGAAATTTACTTACCATTTACAAGTCCCCTACACTTGTAATTAGCCTAGTCATTACTATTTTTACTGTTATTAAGCCTCAAGATACCTCAAGAAACTCCACAGTTATCACCCAGCACCCAAAATCAACCTTTCTGAGCGCTCCCAACTGTCCTGTTTCAACTTTGAAGATCCTCAAGACCCCTTAGGATTATTACTAGTAAGTAATAACCCTTTTTCTTGAGATTTTCCCCTTAAATTCTTCCTGGGATTTAAACCACACCTGTTCACAGGCCCCAGTGTTCCAGGTACCTAAATCCTCTGCTTTTGCACGATACCTTAGAGGGATTAAACCACCCCTGATTCATCAGGCCCCTCTGGTTTTATTTATATTAATTTTATTAATATAAATTGGCCATTTTTTCCTATTAATTAAACCCATAAATTCCCTTATTTTATTGGAATTTATTCCTTTAAAATTAAAACCAAAAATCTATAAGCTTTTTGTTTACTTTTGCACCACGTGTAGCTAGAAGATTTTACCTCTTGGCATCACGTAGGCTGACATCTTTGGAACAGTCCCTCACTTCAATCTTAGGTTTCTGTTGATTTATCATGGACCAACTTCAATCGATTCTCTTTCCGAAACCGTTGACATTCGTGGAACATAAATAGCGACAAATTTATAGAGAAGATCCGTAGCTTTCTTTTGAGCCAAAAATCTTCAAAATCCGTTGAGATTTGATAGAGATATTGTATTTCAAAGGTGTGCCTCAAATCCAAGTTTCTTTCCCTTGTTTTGTGATCTTCAGCTCTAATGATTTCAAACGTTTCCCATCCACAAGACTCACTTATCCCTTTCAACCTTCAAAACACCTTTTTAATTTTCCAGAAACCTCATCTTTTTCAGATACGTGCCCATAAATCTCACTTTCAATCTTCTCAATCAGGCCTGGGGGCAAGCATCATTTGCACTCGGTCTTTCCATGTTATTTTTTCTTTCATCTCATTTGTAGGAGGGGTGCTGGGGGCAAGCATCATTTGCACTCACCCCACTTCTACAGTGCTACACTTCCCACAAAAACACTTGTGTCACACAAACGTACGCGCGTACGTTTGTGTGACAAATTTTTGAGCAGGCTTCCCAGTGAAGAACAGATTGATGCTGCTGTACACATGTTACAGCATGTAAAAAATTTCAAATATACCTTGTTTTGCATCCAAATTTGTGCCCTAGTGCTTTTGAAAACAATCGTAAGTCTGGCACAACTGCTTAGCAATCCAGGGGAAACTGGACTTCCTCAAGAGTTCGAACTCTGTTTCAACTGAATTTCTCAATGATCTCACCAAAACATAATACTTTTCTTGGAAATCATCTGCATATAATATTTTAGGTCTCACACATGTTTTTTTTGGTGAGATATCAACTGTGGGAGATTATGTGGGTGATTTCTGACTTGATTCAGTGGTTTTAAGGGCAGAATCTTGGATAGAAGAGGGGTGATTAATTGGAACAACCGGTGGAGCAGATTTTTGGGAATTCTTCTCTAGTACATTGTAGGCTGTTGAAGAAGTAAGAGGTGGCTAAATTAGTCCAAGTATGAGGGGTTGATTATTGGAACATACACGGATGAGGAACTCCATGGAGAACTTGGGAGTCTGTGTTCTCCGATTTGGTGTGACATGCAGATTTATCACTTCCTGACAAAGGAAAATCCATGGAATGGGGATTGGGGATGGAAAATTGTAGGTGGAAATGTAAGGGGTTGAGATTGTATTTCTGGATGGATGAAATCAATTTTGTAGAGATTTTGGATCAGAGGGAGGAAAGGATCAATAGAAACAACAAATTTAGTAACATGTTTTATCTTGATCTAGAATTTGACTTTTTATTCAGTTGTGAAGCAAACCAACAGCAGGTGAGTTAAGCTAGTTGTTTATTCACCTACCCAGAGCTACATATAATATACCAAGAAACATGTTTTTGAGATTTTCTACTATGATCAATCAGTCCAAAATTCTGCTCTTCTTCAGTTTATCCTCCAAAAGGTCCCCAGCATTTGGAGAGGCTTTATGTTCTTGTTCACAATAATGTTTGGTCCCAGTAACTAATGCCAGAACTCTACAGAAATAAAATTTTAAGTTTTGTTTTTCTGGTTGTCTTGAAACCATCTTGTTTTTTTTTTTTTGAACTTGAATCCGAACCCCTCTGTATTCCTGGTTGGGCTTGTTCGGAATTGCAAAAACTAAATTTCATCAAAATCCTGTTTGTGTCATGATATGGTTAACTCAGGAGGCTAATGATGTTCCCAGTCAATTTAAAATCTAATTTAATTGTGTACATCTACTTGATAAAAACAAACCAAAGAATGATACAGGTGGTGCCACTTCTTCCATTATTGGATAAACCCCAATATAACACAGCCCTACTAAACTTGTCACACAAATGTACGCGCGTACGTTTGTGTGACACAACTCAACTGTCCCCTTTGACAAAGTTTTCAAAAACACAACAATAAAAATCCCACACTAGTATCTAATTCCGTGAATGCGCTTTCACATTCAAAAAAATCTTGGATTACAACCTCTCTGCTGATTGAATTTGGTTAAAAATTTTCCCAGTTGTCAATAGCTGCTTTCAATTCTGCACCTCACATATAAAGACCACACCATCAAGATTTATCCCCCTCAGAACATCAAATATTTTTCTCAGAATCTTCCCAAGCTTCAAGCTTCCAATAAAATGGCAAACCCTCACTGGGGGGGGGGGGCACAAACTGAACGGTCTAAAATCCAATTCAACCCTCTGCTGTGGCGCATATTCTTTTACTAAGACCTTGTTGGAGATGAAGCTGAAATCCCTGTCAGAAGAATGGAAGCATAATCCCTCTCAATACCATCTGAGTATTGCTTCCTCACTTCCTGACTCTATTTCACTGAATCCAATTGATACCATTCTACTAGCATCCCTTACCCACATTTTGGAAAGAAATTGTCCATTCTTCAGCATAATCTTTCTTCAAGACCCAGAAAGTTCAAACATCACTGGTTTGAATTTTTCTTGGGATCAACCCTGGGAAATCCAATGGAACAAAATAATCTCAATAATAATACTTAAAAATTGAAACCATTCATCCGAGGCTGGGTTATACAAAGAATTTTTCATACATCATACCAAAACCTCAAACAAGAACCCATATTGGTATTCTCCATTGGTAGTTTCTGAGAAGGAAGGAAGAGTTTTGATTGAGAAATTTTTTTGGCAAAAAAGGGACAAAAAGAATCAATGTAAAAAGAAATCCAAATTGTAATGAGAATTTTTTCAAAAGCCAACTTGATCTAAGCTGTTGCTGAAAAAATCATCCTTCAAATATTCAAATTCAGAGAAACGAACAGGAAACCCTCTCAAAACTCTTTTATCCCACTATAATCAAGACAGAGCTCTTTGATAAAATCAGGTGCTGTCCTGAGACCGAAGTTTTCCCTGGAAATATTTTCAAAATAATTTCTCTCCCTTTCACAAGAAAAATAAACTCATAAATGACAAGTGAAATCAGTCCGAGTTTAGCATGCTACCCATTACATACACGCCTCAACTCTGCCTCAGCCACCTGTAGGACACAAATAAGCCATTGTGGTTGGTTTGAAACAGAGCTGTAGCTCAAGAAGAGCAGTGATCAATTTTACTTTATGTGGCCTGCCATCTAGTGAGCATCGATTTTTCCTGTTTTTGGTGTTCAGAGGGGTTCAACAGGGCACCTCAACTGGACAAGATAACAATTCACAAAAGGCAGGATACCAAAGGAAAAAGATTTGTAAACTAATTCCGTCTTGAACATAAGCAAGCTAACTCAAAATCTCTCCACAGTTTTCTACCCTAATTACCTAGAAACTACTATTCAGACAAATACCTAGCCACCTTGCCTGAGATCAATTTCAAACTTCTCAATCCCAAATCAAAATAAATTTTTCAAATTTCCTGGCTTTGACTAAAGTTTCCTGCAAGTAATGGTTTCAGTCCCGGCCCCTTGGAAGCCTGTTTCCTTGGGAAATCAGGCTTCTGAGGGGTGTGTGATCAAACCCGCCCCTCAGAGATGGGCGGGTGTGATTGCACACCCCTTTTGGAGGGGTGTGGGTGGGCGGGGAGGGGAGGGGAGGGCAGTGCAATTATCAACACGCCCAACAGAGTCTTGCCATTTTCGATTTCAATGTTGAGGGCTTTCATCACACACCAAGACTGGATGATTTCAGAATTGAAGGCTTGCTGTATCTTGTTCAGGTGTCTGAAAAATTTGGTTGAAACTTGAATGCTACTGCTCACCAGGTGACCTCAATCTCGTCCATGGAAAATACAGTGAGGTAAGACACCCTTGGCAATGTGAATCTTGATCTCATTTTACCAGTTTGAAAAGCTTGCTAGAATAAAAATAATAAGGGTGGCCAAAGATTGAACTGGATTATTGTCAGAACCGCTCATCTGGAAGCTTTTGGCCAATTTGGTAGTTGCTAGAACTAATGCAAGGCTGGTTAAATTTTCTCCTAATCCCATTTCATCAGCAAGTATGGATCCTTGGCTACTAAATTGGTCTCTTTTTTCAAGTCTTAGTTCAGAAGTTTACTACATCATTTCATCCAAATATTGATGGGGTAGTTCCACAAGTTGAAAAATTTGGTTTTTTTTTTGGTAGACTTGTTTCTTTTGGGGATAAAGCTGTATGTTGGTGGTCTTTCAAGGTGGGTAAACATTTTCTGAGAATAAAACAATAAGAATGATTCTCTTCTGTAGTACTAGTGCCATTAGGGGGATATTGAAAAATAGGATGGTATTGTAGTTGGGGGAGAGATTGATTTGTGCCTTGGAGAAAGCAGATGAAATGATTGCCTTGTTTGAGTCAAGACCAGATATGCAACCCCGCAGTTGAGGATCATTACATATTTTGGTAAAAAGGAAATCTCAAATTTTTATCAGGGATTTTTCAAATGAGACCATTCCTTCTTCTGTTATTGATGTTGAGAAGCTGCCCACGGAACCTAAAAATGGAAAAAGGAATTTGCTATGAACTCGGCTGATATCCCTAAACAATTGTATTGGGGCACACAACACATGCACTTGGTCTGTAACTTGGTTTAGGAAGGATTTTTGTGGGTTATCAGGAAGGGAAGCTGAGGTAGGGGAATATTTATATATGACAAATTGACCAAGGTATAATACATTTTAAATGTTGGATGGAGGAACAAGAGAATCTGACTGAGTTTTTGAATAATGTGAGGGTTGGAAAAAGGATAGGATGGTCGTATTTTTTACCTTTCTCTTATCTAGGATTTGTAAAGGATTTGGAATCCCCATTACAACATCTGACAATAAACAGCCTTTGGTGCTTATTTTGACTCACTCACATTGGCTGCAGGGAGCTACATGAGGTAGTGATGTAAGCTGGAAATTTTTGTAAAAAAAACACCTGAACCTGTTGGATTGGATTGGTCAACATGTTGACTGCTGTATTTTCTTCGCAAATCAATCCAACATAGTGAGCATTTGGCTTCCAATAATCGTACTCTTTGGTAAGCCAATACCAAACGTTTAGGAGGCCTGGTAACCACTAACTTTGTAAGTTGTTTGTACATAATAATCACATGATATTGGCATTGGAAAGGGCTTGTTCAACTCACACGCCTCCTTGTAAATAGTGGGTCCTCATAGTGACTTACTGAGATAGTGGCTCGCAACCAGGTGGGAAATCATAAGAGTCAAGATATTGCAAGCTTGGGCCAAAGCTTTGGATCAACAAATTTTTGCTGAAAAGTTGAACTTGGTTTCAGCATAGGTCTGGGGTATATTCTACACATGCATTCCATAATATATCCAGTACAATTCCGGGTCACATCAGGCTAAGTTGCAGTAGACATCAACATGTGTTGTATTCCAGATTGTGGTACACATCAACATGTTTTCATACTGTCTTTGAACAGACTTCAAACCAGATCTATGACCAAGTTCACTGATGGCACTTGAAAGCAGGTGCTGAGCAAACTCCCCTGGTGCTAGTTGATCTGAGATGACCCAAGGATACCTCAGCCTCCAGGACAGTCTTCTAACAGCCAAGATCACTCCAAGGCCACAGATTGGAACCCCAATAGCAACGCTGCCACAGATACGGTATCTGCCCGTATCTGCCATGTATCACTATGTATCTGAGCCCCAATAAAAAAAAACTATCTGACCAATCTGCTTTTATTTGCAAGGAGATTCAACAAATTTGGTTTTTGGCCATGCAGCTTTGCAGAATTCTCCATGATACACACAGCGTATTGTATCTGTGGCAGTGTTGCCAATAGCAAGTGGTATATTGTAAATTCTGGTGACATCTGATGAAGTTTTTGGTGGACCCAATCAAATTTCACACAGGATGTCAGGAAAACATAATCACATATTGCCTTTTCTGGATCACTCTGTTTTCAAAAATCCACTACACTGTATATTCCATTGTTGATGACGCAAATCTATCAGTTGTCTTCAAATTTCAATGTGCAAGTTATGCAAGGCCCTCAACAGCTCTTTAGCTGTATGGTCTTTTTTTCAGAATTGGAAATCAGAAACAGATGTTCCAAAATGAACTCAATCCATGCCAAGCTTGTTAGAGCATCTCCAAGGTCCTGCTGATGCGGGACCTGGGACCGACTTCAGCGGGCCGCGAGGCTCTTTTGGTTGCTAGCGGAGCTGCCGAGCGAGCTGCTGAACATCGCGGGGGTGGACCAAAGCTGCCCTCGGCTGCTGAGTTTGGCAGCTTTGGCCGCATTTCACCCACCCCCGCTCAACTTCACAGTCCGCATTTAGGACAACTGTGACAGACCGGTGACACCTTGGGACATCTGACTCGAGGCCGCCAAAGGCTAGCCGATCCACCCCCAGAAGCATCTCCACCGCGGTCCCTAAAACCTTGCATTTGGGGACCGCGCTACCAGCTATACGGACCCAAGGTGCTGCGGCACACACCGCGGGTCCCCAAATTGGGTCGCTATCTGCTCCCCGCCCTCCCCCGAGCAAATATCATCCAATCCCTCCACATCTGTGGATACATCTGTGGATATCGACTATGGACCGCCTTTCGATCCTACAAAAGATGGTTGCAACTCAATCGAATGTTCTTGCCTCTTCAACTCAATCCCAACTCGCGATTCTGCAAGGTGGCGCAGCGGCAATACAATATCAACTTCAACAAGAACGCGAACAAGAGGCGGCGGCAAAGCAAATCAAGCATGGCGGATCTAGAAAAGGCCGTTTGCCAAATATTGATCGGGATTTCGAGGCTGGATACGAACAACTAACCAGGGATTACTTTTCCAAAACACCTAGACCACGCTACAACGATTATCAGTTCCGCCGCCGTTTCCGCATGCACCGCAGTCTCTTTCTGAAGATAGTTGATGATGTGACAGATTACGATGATTATTTTGTCCGGAAATGTGATGCTCTGGGGAAACCAGGCTTGTATCCCATCCAGAAAATAACTTCAGCGATTTGAATTCTAGCATATGGCGGGGCCGGTGATGCAAACGACGAGTATCTACGCATTGCAGAATCAACTTCGCTGGAGAGTCTTGATCGTTTCACCCAGGCGATCATCAATCTCTATGGCTCTGAATACCTGAGATCACCAAACGACGCGGACACAAAACGATTGTTAGCAAATTCCAAAGATCGAGGCTTTCCTGGTATGCTCGGCTCCCTTGATTGTATGCATTGGGAGTGGAAAAACTGCCCAACAGCTTGGAAGGGTCAGTACCAGGGGAAAGAGAAGGTGCGTGAGAAGTAAGTGCTGAATTATGATTATATCTATTGACATGGAACTATCATTGGTAGGTCCCGACCCTGGTACTGGAGGCTGTCGTGTCTGAGGATTTATGGTTCTGGCATGCCTTCTTTGGAATGCCGGGCTCTCATAACGACAAGAACGTCCTCAATGCCTCTCCACTATTCCAGAACCTGCTGAATGGCAATGCTCCCCGGTGCAATTTCGTTGTCAATGGAAATAGATACCACCAAGGATATTACCTCGCCGATGGCATATATCCTGATTGGTCTACTTTAATAAAAACAATCTCAAAACCCCAAGGTCTTGAACGGAAGGTAAGATTTCTTTGAATTCAATTGCTTTGTTGAGAGAGATCTAACAAGTTTGCAAGGTAGTATTTCGCAAAAATGCAGGAAAAAGCACGGAAAGATGTTGAAAGAGGCTTTGGGGTCCTGCAAGCTCAATTTGGTATCGTCGCTCGGCCGGCTCTTGCTTGGAGTCATGAAAAGCTGCAAAGGGTCATGAGGGCATGCATAATCCTCCACAATATGATTGTGGAGGATGAGCGAGATGTTCCTCATGATCATATTTATGATCGACAAGCTCACACGGAAAATACTCGACCGAGCGGTTCCCGAGCCGAAAATCTATCCGTTTTCATTTGTAACTATCAATCAATGAGAGACTCCGAGCAGCATTTTGCTCTACGGAATGATCTTATTGCTCATCTATGGGCACGAAAGGGTCGCCTTGAACAAGAAAGTGACGATGAGGATGAGGAATTGCTTCCTGTCAATGATGACTCTAGCAAATTGGAAGAGGATGCTTCGAACACCGAATGACAGGTTACTTTTGATTCCATATTCTTCTGCTAGTTGTGTTTCTCGCTTTCTGTATGCCTCACTCTTCAACTCTTCTGATAGTCAATAGTCGTAGTCTCTGTATGCCTCAATGCAGAACTCTTCCAATAGGTGATAGCCGTAGTCTTTCCTCCTTTCTGTTCTTCTCATCTTCATTTACAACATGTCACTTAGCTCGAGCAAAAAATTGGAATGAATTCTGGCAATTGCAAATCAATTTTACCATTCTTTTTGATAATTTAAAACCCGATGTGTGTTTAAGTAGAAAAATAAAAAGAAAAATAAAACCCGATATGTGTTTAAGGAGAAAAATGTGTTATTCTTATTGACTTAACAAAAGACAAGCCAAAAACAAACCAAAAGCGCCTCAACTAAAGCAAATAAACATGTTTTTGTATCTCGCGTTTGTTGTGCAAAAAGAAAAAAAATAAAATAAAAAAACATTCAAATAATTCAGAAAAGGATCAACGAGACGCAAATAAATCAAAAAAGGATCAACGAGACGTGTCAGGCGCAGGTGTTCTCGTCACGTTGTCAGTGTTTGATGGTGCTGCGTTCGATGCCGATAGTTCCATTTCCAACCGAGCCATAATCTTAGCTTGCTCAAACGCGTAGTACCTCCTCATCATATCGCTCGCCCCGGAAAGGTCCTTCGACATGATTGACTCGTCGGCTAACCGATTCATTGCGGCTTGTTGAGCTTCTAAAAACCCGCTTTGCTTCTTCGCGACTTCAGCAATGTCGGAGTGAGCCTGCGCCATCTTCCTCAAACTTTCCTGGGTTTTTTTGGCATCTAATTCGGCCGCGTGGTCGGATTTTGCACGTTTGCGGCCGGTTGGACGCGAGGGAGGACCAGTGGTCTCGCTACCTGAGGAATCGATAGAAACACCAGCGCTCTCAACCGCCGAAGCATCAGTCGATCTTGAATTGGGGGTCGCGTCGGTGGTCAATGAGTCGTTTGGTGCCTTTCTTTTGTTGGACACTGCGGCACCACCTTCTTTCTTCTTCCCAAGGCCACAAGAATAGTCGTTCCACTTTGGCGAGTTGATCAGTACTTCGTAGCAGCCCAGCATGGTGAAAGGTTTCTCATAGAATTTATGATACATTGACATCGCCATCGTGAGTCGGTTTGCAGAGGTGGTCCCGCTCGGATTCAATTGTTGGACTTGATTAACGCAGCCGACAAACTTATTTACCTCCTTCTGAATCTTGTCGCTCCAGTGGTTTTTGAGGCTTTTGGCCGATCGTGGTGCGTTGGGGACGTGAGTCGCATAGTGCTTAGCAATCGCATCCCAGAAAGCAGCAAACGACTGATCGGTGCCTTTCTTTGGATCCTCGCTGATTTTGAGCCACGAGTTACAGAGCTGTATGTCTTCATGTTCAAGGTAAGTTCGGGAGCTTCCTTTTTTATCATCGGGTTCAGATTCGGTTTGATTTTTGGAAGTAGTGGTACTGGTACTACTGGTGGCCGCTTTCTTGCCTTTTGGTTTTGCTTTGTTGGTCGGTTGTGGAGCTTGAACGACAGAGATGTCCGATGAGGTGAGACTGGAAACAGGGGGAACAGGTCGTTGGACAACCGAGATATCAGTTCCCATGAGAGTGGGATCAAGAATAGTGTGGCCTGTGGGTGTCGCCATCGAGTTTGAGGTGTCCTTGGTAGGTGTGGGTGTCGCCATCGAGGTTGAGGTGTCCTTGGTAGGTAGCTAGCCTGTTGTGTTCAGAAAGAATAGGGAGGGGAGATCGGGGGAGGTCGAGTTTCGGATGGATGGAGTTCACAGGACAAACACGAGAATTTGTGTGATCCTTGTGGATATCAGCTTCCCTAGCCGAACCCTGGATCCAGGGTCTGGAGAGGGACCGAGGATGAAATCCGTAAAATACGGACGCCGATGGGGACCGCGGTGGGGGGCGTTTTTTGAGCCGCGGTCCCTAAATGCGGGATAGGGACCCGATTTAGGGACCGCGGTGGAGATGCTCTTAGCCTCTTTTTTTTTTTTTTTTTTTTTTTTAAGTGCTATTGATTTCACATACCGCACTATTAATCTGCTATGGGTTATGTATATACAACGACGGTTAATATGTAACGCAAGTGGATAAATGAAAGCGTATTCTCTAGTGTATAAAACAATCGTGTGTTAGAGAGAAAAAGAAGAAATTTGAGAAAGAAAAAGGAAAAGAAAAGAAGAGAAGAGAAGAGAAGAGAGAGTGAAGATAAGAAGTCAAACTGAGAAATGAGATAACTAAAGAGACGATAGCATGTAAGGAGATGAGCAGAGAAAAGCTAAGGAGTTCGGGAAACCTAGCCCTTCCTCCCATCCCACCAGAAGATTGTATTACCAGAGTGCGTCTAGGCCCCCACTACGGGGGTTGATAAGCGCACGCCAACCCCCATGGCGCACGCCAAACCGCACGCCAGGTGCGGATTGGCGTGCGCGCCTGCACGCCAACCAAAATTGGCGTGCGGGGCCGCACGCCAATGACCTGCAGGGATATACCCCACAGGTTGGCGTGCAGGCCCTGCAGGTTGGCGTGCAGGCCTGCACGCCAAAGGTGTTTGGCGTGCGAGGCCGCACGCCAAAGCTGCAGGGGCCTAAACGCATATACATATGCCTATAG